GCCGGCAGCGAAGCGGAGGAAGAGTCGGGAGAGCGATTCTCCGCCTCCCCCACCACCGCCGCCGCCGCCTGTCGAGAAGCCTCAGCCTATAGTTGTCGACGTCGACATCAACGTCGACAGAGAGCAGCCTGCAGCGTCAACGTCGAAGACGACGCTCGAACCCACTCCCACGCCGACGACACCCACACCAACGACACCGACCATTTCCAGTTCCTCGCCTCCCATCCAATTTATCATCGAGAAACCCTTCGCACGCAGCTACCACACTGCCATCACATTTGAAAAGAAAGACGATGACGAGATGGAGGTCGAAGCCGACGCTGAAGACGACTCCGAGTCGGACGATGACGACGACGACGAATGGCTTATCCCCCACTCGCGCAAAAAGACAGAGCTGGATATCTGGCGGTTTGCGTGCAGGCGAAGAGTGGATCATATGTAAGCAGCTGCTCACTCTTATCATGCTCGCTGTCGCTGACAATGACCAGTACCCACCAATACACACCCAGCATTATCCGGGACCTTGTCACGCAGGACGCTCGACGGCACCATACGCCTCGGGAAGAAGAAGATTACCTAACAGAGGAGATTTTTGATTGGGAACTCGACTCGGAGTCAGACTCTGAGGACGAACCACCTCTTATCACGTTTGCGCTACCCTCTCCGCCCTGCTCGCCTCTCGACCCGCCCCAGCAGCTCCTTCCTCTCCCACCGCCTCGCCTGGCATCAATAACACTCCCTGAGCTCATTGCCCAGTACGGCTTTGCAGAGAGCACACCACCGCCGACACCCTCGCCGTGCATGCGGATTGGGAAGGGCACTCCCGTTGACCCTGCTCGCCGTGCAGCCTGGGCGCAGCCGCCTACCCATCCTCAGCCACACTCCCCAACACCAGAGCTCGACCCCAGGATGTGGGATGACTTTTTGGAAAAAATTAATCGGGATTCGTTTGTTGATGGAGGCGTCGAGAGTTTTACGAACATGTTATTTGAAGGCGAAACAGGATTTTAAAGCTGTCTTTCCGTATATCTCCCTTTCCATTGTTTATCATCTCGCAATCTCATGTCCCTCACGCACATTATCCCCATCTCATCGCTCTGTATACCTAACTGGCTCTCCCCTCTCCATATCCCTTTATGCATGACCTCTGTATTTTGTATTTATAGAGACATCTGCGTTATCGCAACGAATGATTTTTTTTTTTCTGGGATTTGGTATGAAAGCTTAATTGATGTAATACTTCAGTACCGCGTATCACAACCCTGGACCTGATCTACATGCAAAGTGACTATGTTGCTATCCCGGTAGAAAATCCTGATTGAACGTGGTTAGAACAAAGTTAGAATTGGATTATTGGAGATACATATTTGACTCCGCGAAGGTATATTGGATCTCAAGATGTGCAGGCCCTTCACCGCAGTAAAAGTTTATATTTCAGGGACAAAGAATACAATGGGCCCGACCCTATACACGAACATTGTGATCGCGCCAACTCCCCAGCGTTTTCAAGCTCACCTCGTCGTTTGCAAGAAATAATACAGTTTTCTGCTGTTCGTGAAGCGAATCATATTTGTACCGGGCGCTAACAGGAGGTAAGGAGCTAGATCTCTGATGGTATATTGGTCCATACAAGGCAATCAGAAACTTTGATATCACCCGTGAGCCCGATATGCAACCCACGACCCCTCAGGGCAACCCGCGTCATCGGAGATCCCAGAACCTGCGGGACATCATCCCATCGGGTTTGACCTCGAAAACCGCATGCCGCCCATGACTCTCAGGTTCAAGAATGAACGAGGATGGAGGGAGATGAAAAAACTTCTAGCGTATTGGTAGCTGCATTGGGCTCCCCGAAATAAGGGTGACTGGGTAGAACGTGTCGGGACAATGATCATGGTATCGTTCACTGCGAAAAACGAGGTGGACGAGGATGTCGGCAAGTATCCAAGTCTCAAATCAAGTACACGCATTCCGCTGATGACCGTATGCAAAAGAAAGGAACTTCATCACATGGGGAACCGACTTCATGAAGGTGGTAGTGGCTGCTGTGATGTGAGCCTTGTTGAATGAGATTCCGTCTGCTTCAAGTTGGTGAAGCAATCCCTCCGACTCGGCACAGACGAAGCCATATTCAGGCTAGCACCGACAAAGTTTAGAAGGCAGACACATCTTTCAACAACGGTTCTCACCCTCGTAGGCGAAGGATCCTCCGGTAGCGCGCCATAACCGAAGGTTGTGGAAGGGAAGAAAGGCGGCAGATGTAGGCTCGTCGATGGTGCTACGTGTGGGGTCTATCACCAGGCCGTGCCAGTGTTGTACGATTGCTACCCATCGAGATCTCCTCGCGGGAGATGCTAGTAAGGTGAGGCATTGATTGTGGAACAGAAGGTTTCTGGTAGATCGGTCAAGTATACTGGTCGCCGGTACCATCCAGGGAGTAGCATCCTATACACATTGAATGGTTGGAACCTGCGAGGACGAAATCATGATATTTTCACCTCGATGGGCGAATCGTACGGCATCTTCCACTTATGATCTCAGCCCCTTGACTCTCAAGAGGAGCTGAAGAGGATCGTCAGGCTCCTGGAGAACTGATGCAAGTCCCGAAACCGGCGGTTCGGAGGTGGGCGGCCGAGTCCATAGAGGAGTGTCTGTCGGATGGGCGTAAAGCCTTGCTGAAAAAAAGATTTTGTTTACTTGGCGAAGCAACATCTGCGGCAGACGAGGCCGACGACGGCAATCCCTTGGTCGCCCCACATGTGTGACGAGACAGTCGGTATCGAACGCAGACCGATGCCACGACGTCCGCTAATCGATCACTGCTAGTGCCGACATTGAACTCGTAGGTGAAGAAACACCCATCCATAATCACCACCTCACGAAGGGATGGTGCCGTATGTCAGACTCCTTTCCGAATCCCCGGATACTGCACTCGCTCACTCGATGCCCACTGAAAAGGGTTCCATCTTGGCCAGGTGCCACCGAAGATAGTGTGCGCATTAGGCAGATTCCGTAACATTCTGTGTTGAGGACTGTAGAAGATTTTGAGACCGCAATACGGTAGTACTGCAGGCCCTTCCCCCGTTAACTCTGCTGAACATACGCCGAAAGTCCGTTGTCATCCTGGAGATGAACGAACGACTTCAATGCAGGAGTGATTTGCTGGAAGGGAGTACATTTCCTTGGCGAGATAATCTCTCTAGTCTGGCAAGTTCGAATGACGACGACAAAGCACTTGCTCGTTATGGAAGCTGGGTTGAGATGCATGATGGTCCGACACGATAGAGAGCATCCTCCTGCAGTCGTTTTTGCCCTCATGAACAGGGAATGTTTGGGAGCGCACTAAGAACTATGGCCTATTTCAACGACGCGCGGGTGATCGGAACAGAGAGATCGATCCTCCTCTCTGGTGCCATGCATGTTTGGTGCGTCTATCTTCACGGGAGAGGCTCTCTGCTATGCAAAACTAGGTTATGCATATGCACCGCGTACACTTAGCATGACGGAGACGCATCTCAGAGCAGGATATATGCGCAGGAATCGTACAAGAAAGAGAAGACGGTGATTAACGTTGAAGGCGTTGAACAGCCTACACCATTCCACGTTCATTACGGCGATCCCTCCATTGCGAGACCTCGTGCCACATTCGTACGGTCACGCATTATCTGTCTATGACTCCAGTCATTGTAACAGCTGTGTCCTCGCAGTGCTGCTGGTGATGAATATGCGGAGGGTGACGCTTGGGAGTAAAACTGTCATCAATGTCGGGAACGCGATGAGATGAGAATGAGGGGCGCCACGGGAAAGAAGTGAGCAACGATGGGAAACGTTGCCTTTGGGATAGAATGAAACATGTTTTCGCTGGCAGAATGGATGGGCTCTAATCTTGTCATAGTCAGAGGTTCGTCAAGTCCCGAATGAAAGACGGCACAATAAAGGAACTCATGAAGCTAGCCGGAAGCCATAAACGACGGACCAGATGTAATCATCCAGCGGCGTATCATACTCTGAGGACTCAGAGCAGGATATATGCGAGAAATGAAAAGGTACTCGACTGTTCCGCGGATCCCTCCCTCGCGATTCCTTGAGTTATCCCACATTGCCGGATAGGCATTAGTACAGCTACGCCTCCCCCCGCCTATGACCGCCGTCGTAATAGCAGTCCAGACTGCCCATTGCTGTCCTCCTGGTGACGAAAATGCATTAAAGGAAGGCGAGACGAAGGATAGGTTGGATGAGAATACGAGAGTCCCGCTCGTAGGCGATGGAGGGTCCGGGAAATTCGCCTTCGTTACAGGATTGTACGAGTTTGTCGTGACCTGATGATATTGAGAGAAAAGCACACATAACTCATCGACAAAAGACTGTCTTGATATCCGTGTCATCTCGAATTCAAAGGTGAACACTTCTGGCTCCTCGTTCCTCCTACTACCGATTGAATGTTGCTGCTGCGGATGCTACGCGAACGGGCAAGGCCATCGAACACCATACCCGACGTTCCATAGCGGTCTCCAATGCAAGCCCTTGGGCAGTCCTAAATCGCTTGATAACCGCGCCACGGAGTCATTGCATGCGCTGGCCTCCTCCGGAAGCGCAAATCATCACCGTAGCAGTCGTGTGCTGACCGTCCATCCCTGCACAGCGATTCACGAAAACGCGCCAAAGGAGATATGAAAAACTGCGCCCAGCGATCAGAAACGCGACTGGATGACAAGGAGGCGCGTTACGGCAACGACGGGAAATCGCCTTTGGTATAGGTAGGATGGAATGGTGTAGCGGTGCGGATGAAATATACTTTGCCGTGAGGTATTAGGAAAGAAAATTAGCAAGGGCTGACATCACGAATTCGAAACGCAAGTTGATTTCTCGGCCCGCCTTTTGATGGAATGTCCGCAGAAGCAAGGGAGAGCTCAGGGAAATTTCGTTGGAACTTGGGAGATGCTGGGAGAAGCAGTGGGCCCGAGATATGAGATATGCGCTTGGATCAGAGACATGTATATTCTCTGGTAGTATATCGGTTAGTACACGCGCCTGTCATAGCTGAATATACGCAGTGGTGTTGCGCGCGAAAGCTGGGTTCGACTCCCAGCCAGAGAGTGGTTTCGAATAGGTGCTCTTTTGTTCTTTTGAAGTTTTAAGTTTTGACTCCCAAGGCTCGTATGATGTATCTTAGGGCTTAATGCTCGCTCCCTGATTCCCGATATCATAGAATCGACACCAAGGTCAAGCACGGATACGAAGAACAAAGCTAAATTAGATGTACAGGGTGGTCAATGCACTACGAACAGCTGCAGTATACCCCCAGAAGGCGGGTAACATTAGCGAGAACCTGACAGTACTCGGGCTTCGTCGAATGTACCCACCTATTCGTGCGTGGCGCAAACCCCGTCACTAGGAATACGATGCACATGGTGGAGATGGAAAAACTTAGGTCGTGGTATTAACGGGATTAGAAGAGCGTTCGTACTGGCACTGATGCACGCCCAAGGCTGCATGTATCAGAAGAGGAAAAGTTCGAAGGGACTCGGAAATCACGGTCTAATCTCCACGATGTGAAAGACTGGAAGATGATACTTGGGATAGTATCACGAAAGAGGGCAGGCTGAGATTGCGAGTCCGCTAACCGTGCAAACATGGTGTTAACTAGATGGTCCTCCAGGATTGCGGATGATGCGATGACATAGAGGGGAAGAGGGAAGGAGAGAATCTAGGGCTACTGGGACAGCTTGTTTGGTTTTCGTGATTTGCAGGCGACGGGGAGGGTCAACAGGTAGCGGGGAAGGTGTGTCAAAATGCGCCCATCTTGACTCGTGTGCAGTCATCTAAGCACCATACTGGGCACTTTGACATGCTTAGAGTAGCACGAAACATGGAATGGACGAGAATATTCGCTGGCGGTGACATCTTGTACAACAGATATGTTGTTTGTGTCCGCACCGCCCAGTCCCATTGCTGATGCCTTTCGTTACAGTGACTCATTAAACGAGAACCCCATTTATGGGGGGGCAAGGAGGCTTCAATGTCACTCAACCTCACCAGTGCTGGTTTTTCCAGCGCAAAGCCTTTCGAGTGTAGAGATTAGGACGGTTATTAGGAGCAATCCTCATCTCGCCAGGAATTATAAAAATTCTCAGGTCGACGAAGAATTCTACACTTTCCACCGAAAGAACTATTTAACCTTTTTCTGGTGCCAGATACTTGATCCTTCCGAGATATCTTTGGGAGGAGATTCGGAAAAGTACGGGTCTACGCAACAGGAATTGGCACAGGGTGATTTTTGACTGCGATGATTTTGCGCTGGGTAAAAGGTCTAATTCGTCTACGGTGCACGTCTAGCGTTCTTGTCCAGTTTTCATCCCGCGGTGGTCGTTTGCGCGTGCTAATGGCTGGCAGATTTTCTGAGAGGCGTGTTGGAGTGGAGGGATGAGGGACGGGACTCGGGGAAGGGTGCGTGGATGACCGAGGATGCTATATCTCAGTCGCAGTAATCGATGGTGCGTCCGATCCCTCAGCGAGGTATCGATCGTGTTTGCAGGCGTCGCGGAGGTCTTGGCATGTGAGCCGCGCATCGTCGACTGGAAGGACGGTCTTGAGCCGAGCCATGGAGAGAGCTAAAGCCTACGCGCGGATGCAGGTGTGGGAACGTCTAACGTCTTCTCTGTTTGTTTCGCACCGACTAGGTGTAGCAGTTCCATGCACACACGCACACACTACCTCCCTCTGCATACGCGCAGACCATCGCTTCCCTTCTTTTGATCCAGTCGTCCACCTCCGTCCGTCCCCCTCCGTTCCAGGTCACCGACTTCGATACGAAGGCATGTCCATGTCGGTTTTCGTGGGGCTTTTCGAGCCACGCAGGGGTGCCCGTCTCTTGCAGCCAGTAAAGAAGGCATCGGTCAAGAAGGGCCAGCAGTTACTTAAAGCGCTGAGATTCTTCGAACGGCAGCAGCTGCGCGTACAGGCACAGATAGAGGCGAAAGAGACAACGGGCAAGAGGAAGAAGGCCCTTGACGATGTTGCAGATGATGACCAGCCACTCAAACAGCCGGCGGCGAAGCGGAGGAAGAGTCGGGAGAGCGATTCTCCGCCTCCCCAACCACCGTCACCGCCTTTCGGGAAGCCTCAGCCTGTAGCGGTTGACGTCGACGTTCTCATTATAAGGTCCTGAAACCCCGTGGAAAAATTCTATTCGTGGAATCAATTGATTGCGGCAATTGCCGACCTACCGTGTTAAGTTTACCGTGGGAACTCTTCTATTCGTGGACGGCAATTGCCGACCTAGGTGCTGAATCTAGCTGCGGGTTTTCTCTATTCGTGGACGGCGACCTTGTTACTGGCGTTGATCGTCGTGTATTACTTTTTTCCTTGATAACTCTGTATGCTTTGTCAGCTCGTCAGCTTTCGGTTTCTTTCGCCTGCTGGCACTTTTCTGGCGTCTCCCAGATAACAAGCCATACAAGCATGAGGATCGATTCCGGTTCCCTGAAGGTACCGACGTGGACGTGTACACGAAGAGGCGACGCCGAACACAAGTGCTTGGAGAGCTAATCAAGAGCTAATGAATATGGGAGTGGGACCCACAATACCGACTTCTGAAGAATACCAAGTGATAACGATGTAGTACCCTCCCCCTTCTGTGAGTGCTCCTGCTGTTCGAGTCTAGCTTTTCCATTTAATCTCCAGCAAGGCGGGTTTTTTATCTGTCCTGATGGACCGTACTAGTCTTTGCTACGAGAAGTGATCGGTATGTGCAATGTATAGGTACGTGCATGCTACCTTATTTTTTTAGGGCGAAAACTGACGGCACACAGCAGCGCTTCCCTGCCACGAAAGCTTCCAGCCCTCGCATCCAATACCGGCAGCTTAACCAATTTGGTTCATAACTATAAACCTAGAGAGTAGTACCCAGGCCCTGCGGTCGCGCAAGAATACGCCACAGTTGGGGCTCTTGTCCGTGAGAGACTGACCATGGGATTTGTGCGGGTATGCCTGTCTCATTTCACATTGTATGCATCGTATTCACATTCGCTTCTAGGATCTCGATGAGGAAGACATTGCTGATGCCAGCACCGTTGCGGAGAGCTCTCGCCGTGCCTTGGTTGAAGTCCTTGGTATCGAAAAATGCGATAGGCTTCTGACTGCGCTTTATCTCGTTCAACAAGACGGTGTCGCTGTTGTTCATCAATCATCAATCCAAATCTGGAAGGCATTGGTGAACAACACTCCTCGGACAGGTACGATGAATATTTTAGGTTGTTTAGGTGTTTACTCATAGCTGTTTGTAGTCCAAGAAAAAATTCCCGAGCTGATCAACCAAATCATTGTCCTTATATCTAGTGATGAGTTCGAACAACAAGAGGTATGCCGGTATCATTGGTGGTTGGGGCATTTACTTACACCGTTATAGACCTCTGGCCATAGAATAGCAGAGCTTTGCCGCAATTTCGGTGAAAAGATCGTGGGCGAAATCTTGACAGTTCTCAAAGGCAAGGTGACATCGACCGACTCATGAACAAAGAAAGGTGTTTGCTTGGTCCTGAGTGAAATTATGTAAAACATTTTGTCGCAAACCTTGCCAGAAATAGATTTTACTTGTCGTGCAGGGAAAATTCTACGGACTCCATGAAAACGACATTATATCCATGGTTCGCGTGTCTTTGGTCGATGACAAGACCAATGTCCGCTCTGCAGCAGCTAAAGCGTTTGATGTGTTGCAAGAGCCCCAAGGCTATCGACGAGACTATTCCTACACTTTTGGAAGCACTTCGACAGCCTGGAGAGTTCTGGCACTGCACGCGCTCAAGGAGGTCATGAACATTAGTAAACCGGCTTTCTCATACCACGTCCATCTAACCTATTTTGACTATAGGTACAGGCAGCGACTGTACAGTGTATTCTCAGTCCTCCAACATTGACGGCTGCACCAGTGTCCGTGTTCAATGCACACGCTGTTGCTTCACTAGTCACTATTGCTGGAAGCGCACTGAGCATGCGGCTGACGACCATTACAAGCGCCTTTGTCAAAGTTATCGAAGACGAGACCGATGAAGAACTTCTATCTGCAATGGATGAGGTAGCTCGTGCATTATTCACATCAATCAACGATGCTGAAGGGCTAAATACGCTCATGATGGTACTCTTAGGATGGTCGGTGTATCCTCGGTTTATTCTCCCCTAGTTCTAACGTTACTTCAAGTCGAAGCACGATACCCCTAAACAGCGAAAGAGCGCGTACAAGGTTTTCTCCATCTTCTGTGAGGAGATCGATCTGGATACATCGTTATACCGTGTGGACTGGATTAAAAAACTCATATCTGCAATGAAAGACCATTACGACGACATTTATTCAAGTGCCGTACAAACTATCGACGTATTCCTTATGTCCGTTCCCAAGGACGTTCTTGTCTAATCCGGGCTCAGTCACCCAGAGGGACGGATAGTATCTTAGCACACTGCTTCCGAGTTTTAGCTACGTCCATCTCCCGTCCACTTTTTATAGATAAATAAAAACATAGGACTCGGATCTGCCACTTGTATGAGGTGGCCCACACCGACTAGTTAACGTTATGGTAAATCACTCCCCTCCTTGTCTTCCCTACGACCCTTTGCCGACTTTGCCGGTGTACGCGCGATTCAGCATGACGAAACATGGGGTAAACAGGACAGTCAAGTACGTAGTGGGTGGAGAAAGGGTAAGATATTGCGGTTGCGGATGGGAGATAGATAGATGGTCCAACCTTAACGATTCAGTGCGCCTCGATCAAGGATGGCGCAAGGAAGTGTCGCTGCTCGATGGCGCCACTGGCTTGAACGATTGTCCCATACGCAAGTGGTGGGTGTAAAGAGTCCGGGCTAGTCCCAACAAAGGCCCATTGTTCCGCAAATGGGAGCGTGACACACAAGAATATCGCGGCATCAAAGGCGTTGCCTAGCTTTACTTCTCTTCAGTGTCTTCACAATTGAACCACCCCGTCGAAGAAAGAGGACCCGGGCAGTTCCTGGTCACAGTTGCTGTACCTTCACTTCTCTTCTACGGTGAACACCTGTGAGCTAAAGATGGGTTTTCCCGAAGCCCATTGAAATGAGATGCAACGAAC